CCACCTGGCCCTTGTAACTTCCCCCCCCCCAGGACACAATTTCCCCCCCCCCCATAGGTTTCCATTATTACTTACTCACAGATTCCATATCCCTGCATGGCTCCATTCCTCCAGTGACATTTGTAGCAGTGGTACCTGTCCGGGGACGAGCCCGGGATCAGACAAATTCCAAATCTGCAATGCAAAGAACAAATGTTGTCACTAATTACCATAATGTACAAAAGTGCAACTACAAGGCGCACACAGTGCTACTGCCCTGGGACCCAGGAGGGAAGAGGGCCCCTTCCCATGATTTCTCCTATCCCTCCTCCTTCTCTAACTCCTCCTACCCCTATTTAAGTACTGCAGCTCATTCATTTTCGAATGGGCCCTAACACAGGAGAAAATCGGTCCTGCTTTATTCTCTTACCGCAGTGCACCACAATCCAATACCATGCACATTGCAGCTTGATGGGGTATCATTTTATTGGGTGTTACTGCAATGAAGTGGTGTGAATGGGCGGGGCCATAGCATAGCCCTATCTGCTTCAGCAATTTGGGCAGCCTGAGCAGATTGATCAGATCTCAAGAAATCAACATTTACTTCACATCTTCTGAGATCTCTCTGCTAGCAGGAGTAACATAGTAATGACGTAGAGTAGGGATGTCCCGATACCACTTAAGACCAAGTACAAGTGCTGTCCCTCATGTACTCGCCGATACCAATTACCGATACTTTTTCTTAAAGGGACATGTCACATTTTTTTCTAAAACAACACAGACTGATGATTTTAGGCCAGTTTCTCACCAGGGCTAAATACGGACGTCACCAGAACTGAACACATGTCCCCACAGCAGAACACATGTCCCCACAGCCAGGGGTGTAAATAGAAATCACAGGGCCCTAGAGCAAAATTTTGAATGGGGCCCCTGTGATATCTAGTTATACCCCTTGCAGAGCCCACTTGAGATCCCACCTGAGGGTGAACCTGCAGAGCCCACCAGAGACTCTCTATGGTGGGCTCTGCAGTGTCACGCTCAGGTGGGCTGGTCGCAATTCTTACCTGTTCGCCTCCTCTTCCTCCACAGTCGCTGATGGGCCCCGTCGCCGGGCCTGCCTCCTTCTTCGTCACCGGGCCCCGCCTCCTCCTCCACTGCCGCTGCTGGCTCTCATTGACTCTGTGGAGAGGAACGCGCTGCTGCACAGATTACTGTCAGTGATCTGAACAGCGGCGTGTTCGTCTTCAGCCGCCAGTGAAAGCCACCAGCAGAGGGTCCCATAGCAACCCAGGCGGCCCGCACGGCATCTGGCAGGACCCATTTCCCCCCCGGGCCCCATAGCGGCCACCTGGGTCGCTATGGTGATTGTTACTCCACTGCCCACAGCAGAACACATGTCCCCACAGCAGAAAACAGATAATAGTATTCCGAGAATACATGTCCGCAAAAGCAGGATACATGATCCCAATGCAGAATTCCTCTCACCAGGCTGCGTGTCGATCTCACCGGGCGACGTGGACATCTGCAGTGGCTCTGCTGGCACTCCACCTCACCGGCGATGGGACCCGACCTCCCCCACGTCCAGAGCAAAGATGCTGCCATGTCCAGTCCGGCCGTACCAGCCCAGTCCTCCCCGTCAGTGTGCGGCAGGAACCCCCAGCTTCTAGCCCTGGGGCGCTAGTTCCGCCCCCGGGGGCTGTGCATGGCTGTGTCTGCGCCGGGAAGGAGATAAAGAACCGGACAGGCACTGCCATGGACAGCTATCTGCAGGTCCCCAGCAAGCTGCCGAGGTCCCCAAAAGCGCGGGGAAGTCAGACGGCCGCTGCTGTTTGAAAATTTAAAGGACCGGCCTTAAGAATCGGGGCTTTTTCACGAGTACAAGTACTCAGGAAAATGCCTGGTATCGGCCCCGATACCGATACTAGTATTGGTATTGGGACATCCCTAATGTAGAGGCTGGGAGAAGAGGAGGGGCAGGGGTGTCTGTGGAAGACCCGGGAATTCAGGAGCTCCGACAATCCAGGAAGTGTCAAGTTTTGGCTAGATGACTGACGCTGATAAATCTGCTTGGGCCCCACAAATTGCTGCATCAGAGTCGGCCACTGTCAGTAGACAATTTGCAGATTGCAATTGTAGCGCCCTCTAAAATGTCGCTCTTCAATTTAGAGATACCTGGACTGTAACCAGTCTAGATGCTGATTATACAGAGCTCAGCATTCTATAGGTGTCCCTGAATCTGCTGGATTGATTGCTCCTCCTGTTGCTGAGGAAAAAAGGAGCCTTGGCATACAGTGAGGGAGGATCCATCCTCAGGTTATGACTATGCACCTGACCCGAGCCAATCCCTGAATAGGATGACTCAGAGGCATGGCTGAGGGCAGGTAATAAAAGGTTGGGGGACACTGTGCAGGGGTCTCTTCCCCTCCTGGGGCCTCTCCTCAGGAGGCCTATGTGATGCAAGAAACTGGCCTGGGCCCCAGCACATGGCAGGTTCTGTGGGGCCTGGAGGCCTAGGATACACTGATACTTTGCTGGGCCCACACACGTGGCAGGTGTTGGGCGCCTGGAACTAGAATACACCACTGGATATCTGGCATGCACCTCAGCAAGTGGCAGATGCTGAGGGCACAGAGATTTCCGTTACGGCCGCAAGGAGACCTGATGGAAGTTGGGCTGGAGGTGGAGTCATCTTATCGAGGAGTGACGCAGAGGAGCTGGTGAGAGCTACCGTCTGGAACCCTGTAAGAGACCCCTCACCCTATTCCCATGTGATCGCTATAGAAGAAGCCAGTTGTTGCTACCTGAATCCAGAGATAGTCCCTTCCTCTCAAAGTCCTGGGCTATCATGGCTATACGCTGTATTGTTCATTTATTGGTCGCTCTGATAGGGCCACGATACTACTGACTTTAGCTGTTGCTAAGGGAGAAAGCTGTCCACCCGGGCATCCTACAGACCCTGAACCCTCTCTCTCCTGTTGAATCTGCAAATAAATACCCTAAAAGACTCTGAGACTCGAGTCCATTCTGTCCGTGAGTGTCGGTGTGTTGCTGATCAAAGGGGACCGGTGGTTGGAGCAAACAGGTAGGAGAACCCCGTTTCATACTCAGCGGCTCCTCCGGGGGTGAGCGCTACACAATCTCTAGACCTTGCCAAATGCGGTGACAGGGTCTCTTTAACTGCAACACTCACACTACACTCTGTACAGAATAAGGAAGGTTTTCTCTTCCCTTAATAACAATTTCACTTCTCTTATATACTTCAGACCCCCAGTTAACCCTCCGCACACTGCAAAGCTCTTTTAAAAGATTTCAACCAAACTTGGCATGAAAACAGATTCTTAGACCCGCGTCATTCAACCAGCTTCCTGTGAGCCCAGGGGGGTCAGGGGCCCGCCTCTTAGGGGTTGCCTTTATCATGCCAGCTTGAGGAAACTGCTACAGAAATTGATGCCACATCATCATTATGTTCTGCAAACCTAACAGGTTTTGGATTGTTGAATATTTCTTTCTAGCGCACACATTGGCTCTTACCCGTCCTCCTGACCGTATTTGAAATCCCCCGCATGATTGCGACCGTTCGGCCATTTTAACGTGCCCCTGTGCCATGTAAAGAAAGAGGTGAGTCAGTACAATACATACATGTACAGTATATGCGATGATATTGAGGTCTGACAAACCCCAAACTGTGTGGGGAGAATGGGGAAGCGGCGCTGAACACAATGCCACCCTCATTTTCCCAGGATAGAAAGACGGTCTGATTAAAATCTCCTGCCTTTGCTTAGCAGCCATGGAAGGTGACACGCCCAAGATGGCTTCCTAGTTACATAGTTGTCAAGGTTTAAACAAAACCTAGATTCAACCTATGTGTATGAGTCGCCAAAAATGCCCATACCCCTGTATATTGTTTTTACTGAAAGTGTTTTTGATGTATCTAGGCTCTCAGCTGATACTACTAGCTGGGAAAGGGAGTTCCACATGCTCACAGATGAAAAAGGTTTTGGTTTTAGATAGACTTTGA